AGCATGTGAATTTCCATAATCTTGTCCCCCAAACTTGTTCAATGACCTGGCCAAAATCAAAGAACAACAATTTATGCATTAACCTAGGCCATAAAGACAAAAAGAAAAAAATTAAAAGAAAATCTGAACTATAAAAGAAAAATAAAAGAAAAGAAAATTTTATGCTTGGGTTGCTTCCCAAGAAGCGCTTAATTTATAGTCATTAGCTAGACTTTCTACCATTCCAAGGTGGTTTTGGATCAGGTCGTAGGGCATGTCCTCTCGGTTTCTTAAATCTTGGCTTTCTTGCCCTTAAGTTGAATCCACCATAAAATTTTCTCCAATGACTATTTTGAGGTGGTTTGGGTTTAGGCCAGCAGATGTGCCTTCCCAATTCTTCTAGGAGTGCCCCCTTTGATTCCAAGGAAGATGATGGGTTCAAGCAATTTATGTATTCTTTGATTGAGTCTTTTACTTGAATAAGGTAAATCTCAAATGGATCCTCATAAGTGTTTTTCTGCAAAATCTCATTAACCATATCAATAATAAAATAATCATTAAAATCAGATTTGGTTAAAGGAGACTCCCCATTGAGCACTTCAAATGACACTTAAGCTTTTTCCTCTTCCTCCTTAGGGACATCCTCTTGTTTAGCTTCTGCAGGCATGTTTTCCACTTCGTCAAGTTGTCCTTCAATCTCCAAGAGTAAAGTGTTTACCTCTTCTTCTTGATTTTTCATTGTTGCACTAGGTAACTCACCTTGTATCTCTTCAGCAACTAAGTTGAGCAAATGACTTGATTGGATCTCCAGATTTTTATTCAAACATGTCTCCTCTTCTGGAGCTTGAAACCATGATTGTGGCTCCAATATATCTTCATTATTCCATGAGATGTTTGGATCAAAATGGCATGTATTGGGATAAGAATTATACTGCTGACTATAAAACTCACAAGAAAAATCAACACACTTGTTATATCGTTTAAATAAGCAATCAGAACTAAAATGGTCTAATCCACACCATTCACAAGTGATATTTGATCGTTCTATTCGAGCCTTCCTTAATTTGATCCTTTTAATGGCTGCTTGAATTCGTTCAAGTTCATCATTGTCAAGTTCTGCATCCCAATTGATAGTTATTGCTTCAACTTGTGCTCTTATCTCTGGCGCAAGCCAATGATAACTCATATAAGTACCTATGGCAACTCGATTCATAGTTAGACCTGTAAAAAAAAAAACAAAGAAAACAGAAAAAAAAATCAAAGTAAAGAAATAAAAGAAAAGAAAATGTTCAAATTAAATCAGAATTAACCAACTCTGATATTAATTAAATCAACAATCCCCGGCAACGGCGCAAAAAACTTGATGCACTAAAATCACCCTAGCAAGTGTACTAGTCGCTCTAAGTAATATAATGATGAGAGCGTGTCGAACCCACGAGGATTGTGTCTAACTAAGTACCAAAATAATTAATCTAAATTTATTTGAACAATCAAATAGAAAGAAACTTTAATTAAAAA